CTGCCCACCCCAATACCCCTGCCACCCCCAGCTCCCTCCCTTCCCCTCTCCATTCCTTCCCCCAAGGCTTCTACCGCCTTCCTATATGCTATGGTTTGCTTGCATATTGTTTATCTCCACCTACTAGAACGCACGCTTCCCAGGGGCAGGGTTCTGTTTTGTTATGGTTGTTCACGGATGCAGCCCGTGCACCTAGAACTGCACATAGTAAAGGTTTAAAAATATTTGCTGACTTGAATGGTCTTCTGTCACCCTGCATGTGCCGTCCACTCTCAAGCCCTGTTGCTGTTGTCCCCCTGGGGCGTTTGCGGCCTTTGCTCACCTGCCCACTTCTGGCACCACCACGTGTCCAAACTTCTGTCACGTTTCAGTGCATTCGGTTTCTTCCCACCATTTTTAGGGTAAACGTGTGGCCTACAAGGTCAGCGTGGCCTGGAGCCTCCCCCCCCCTTTCCTCCTCCTCCGACCACATCTTCTGCCATGTTTTGCGTTGCTCTGTGTTCTCTAAACACTCAGGCCATTTTCCATCCTCTGGACTAGTCTTGCATTTTCCTGTGATGGGGCCGGGCCTTTCTGTCTGCTGTTCCCTCTGCGTGGAATAATTTTCCCAACTCGTTGTGTCTGGTTACCTCCTACTCAGACTTCAGGTCTCCAAACCGTCGGTAGTCTCCCAGGACAGGATCAGCTCTTCCTTTCATGGGCTTTAATTTATCTATCTACCTCTCCTTAGAGAACTTGTCTTAATTACAATCTTACCTGTGTATGATTATGATTATTAAAGTCCTCTCTCCAACTAAACGGTGATTTCTGTGGGGGGAAGGCCATTGTATCTCTAGCACTTACCACAGTGCCTGGCATAGATTAGATGCTTGATAAAGTATGTTGAATGGATTAAAGACGAAATGACCTCTGTAGTATAACACCGTATACATTCCTCCTGGGACATTGTTCTGCTGTGATCATGAACTAGTTAGCCAGCAAGCGGCGGCATCCATCTGCACGTTTCTTCGTGTCACATATGTCATCAAGTAGTCTTACGAAGTGCAAAGCACGTTTAGCTTCAAATCTGCTTAGATGAATATTCGCTTACCTTAAATATTTATATACGTAGATTATGGGCTTCTCTATCGATTTGGGGCTTCTTTACTGTCCAAACTAATTGCTTTGTCTCTAATTAGCTGTGTTATAGAAATAAGTTAAGTCTTCTTCATTTTGCACCAAAATTCAAAGTAATACCGTTGCCAGGCAAAGCTTCCAGTTGACGTTTTAATATAACTCCTCAATATGCTTATTTTGAGGATAAGTACGAGGTAAGCTGATGATTAGAATGACCATGGCATGTCTTAGAGCCACAGGTCCTCCACTTTAGATAAGCCGTCGAAACCCAGTTGGCGCGGACCATTTTCATTTCTATGATGACTTGACACATTTCACTGCTCACTGAATGTGGAGTCTACTGTGATGAGTGCAGTACAAATAAGTGGGCATAGAGCCTGTCTCTGGATATTTACAATCAAAGGGACAGCTATTGTATTTAGCATGGGAGATATTTAATAGGAAGAAATAAGGTGAATCCCCTCTTTGAACAGATGTCTTAATTGCAAATATGTAATTCCTTCTGATGTTCTGTGTTCAGAAAGTGGTTGGATCTAGGCAAGAAAAGTTCATAGGAAAAAAAAAGTTTGTAGAGTGTTTGAGGAATACAAAAAATAAAAATAGATTTGACTTGAGAATTAGATTTAGATTTCTGGTACTGTTCTAATCCTTGGCAATATTTGGAGAATACTGATATTACCCCAAAAGCTCTCCTCTTATGGTGGGGCCTTTGACAAAAGAGGCTTTTTTTTAAGGTACCAGGTTGGTTGATTCAAGCAGTCTCTTAATACCAGTAAATTCAGGTGTGCAGAAAATACCAAAAAGCACTTCAGTAAATGAGAAAGACTGAAGTGCATATACTTCGCGTCTCTAACCCGATTATTTGAGAGCATTTATGAAATACAGATTTGTGAAGTGTGACATGTTTGTGTTGTTTACAGTGAAACAGGATAAAGCTTTTTGAATGATTTATAAACTGACAGAACTCGGGAATTCAGAAGACAGCAGTGCCTGCTCACGGGCGAAAATGGGTTTCCGCCTAGAGACCTTTTATTTTCCTCAACCCTGACCTCTCCACTTCTTGTGATGGGGTGAGGTTCTGGTGAATACACATCAACACCAGAGAGCTTGTTTGCGACCTCAGGAGGTTAGAAAAACATGAGACTAATCCACCTTATCCCTGGAAAAGGGTTGCCTAGGCTCAGTCCAGCCTGCTGGCAGCCCGGGCGAGGCTCACAGTACCCTCTCCTTTCTGCCCCCTCGCCCCCCCTCCCCGTCTTTTCTCTCCCTTGTTTTTTATGCAGTCATGGTTAAATGCTGAGTAGATGTGTTGCAGTCCTGGGGTGGGAAAGGAATAGTTTTGTTTCTTTGGTTACTAATAATGATAAAGAGTAAAATAGCCAATGTTTTCTGCCTATTTTGTTTTGTTTGTTTGTTTGTTTTTTAGCTGAGCCATCCTGCCAGCGGCAGCTCAGCTCGGGCCGGGAATCAAACTGGCAACCCTGTTGTTCAGAGCTCGCACTCTTGAGCGAGCTCTTAACCAACTGAGCCACTCAGTCATCCCCTATTTTGTTTTTTGTTTTTTTTGGTTTTTTAAAAAGATTTTATTGGGGAATTGGGGAAGGGGAACAGTGCTGGGGAATCGGGGGAAGGGGAACAGACAATTTGCTGTCCTTTTGTTCTTCTGTCTAGTTGTGAAGGATGTTGCTTCACTGGCCCATGTTGGTATTATCATTGCACTCTTCCCGGGTGAGGCAGATCGGTCACCGGCCCCTGGACGGCTGCTCATGACGGCTCTTGGCAGCTCACGCTGGCTGCTGGCTGCTGGCCGCTCACGCTGGCTGCCAGCCACACACGGTAGCTTATGGCAACCCACTGCAGCAGGGGCTGCAGCCTACGCTGTCGCCGGCCACTCATGGCAGCCCAGCTCCAGGTTGAGCTGTTGTTCAGCATCTTAGCTGTAGAGGGCGCAGCGTCACTGGCCCCATGTGGGATCCGAACCTGGGCCCTGCTGCTCAGAGCTGGATCCCAAGCCAGCTCCTAACCAACGCGCCACTTGGCCGGCCCCCATTTTGTTTTTTAAACTTATTTCTGTAGCATCTCGTAGAATTTGACTTAATTTCCTTTTATGACCTCTTACTAGTAGGTTCATTCTAAATCGCACTCCCCTCATGTATGTTTTACCTTTTTATCTACCTAGAACAGTACCTGTTTCTTAAATGCCCAATGTGTACATATATTCTCTCTGTTTCCACCCCCGCCTCCTTCCTTCTCTCTCTCTCTCTCTCTCTCTCTCTCTCTCTCTCTCTCTCTCTCTCTCTCTCTCTCTCTCTCTCGCGTGCGCGCGCGCGCGCGGACACACACACACGTTTTATTTTAGTCAACACTTTACTATTTCATTTGCAGAATTGTGTTCCAATTGAATTTCACACCTCTTTCACAAAGCGGCAATACCAGTTTTGCAGGCAGCTTACTTAATGTATTAAGGGGAAGTGTCGTACCTGCCAGTTCTCGTTAGTGCAGCTTTTAGAGATAATGCATGCACTGTACTGTTTGCTAGTGAAGGACGTGTGCTAAGACAACATATGGAACCAGTGATGTAAAAAACTAAGTAAAGGCAATTTTTGACAGGTCTATTCTTAGTCCATTCATAGGGGATTAAAGATAGTAAATATTAAATATAAATATATTACACTATTCCCCTTCAAAAGCTTGCTGTTACTCTATCGCCATATTAATTGAAATGCATTAAAACCAGTTGGTTTTAGCTTTCATGGCCCTCCTACTCTTCCTACCCTGCGCATATGTCTATCTTGCCAATTTTTTTTTTTTAAGGGTCAATGTTTTGTTTTGTTTTGTTTTGTTTAAGATTTTTATTGGGGAATTGGGGGGGGGGATAGGAACAGTGCTGGGGAATTGGGGGAAGGGAAACAGACAAGTTGCTGTCCTTTTGTTCTTCAGTCTAGTTGTGGAGGACGTTGCTTCACTGGCCCAAGTTGGCACCATCATTGCGCTCTTCCCGGGTGAGACAGATCAGTCGCCGGCTTCTGGACGGCCGCTCACTGCGGCTGCTGGCTACACATGGTAGCCCATGGCAACCCACTGCAGCAGGGGCTGCAGCCTACGCCATCGCCGGCGACTCATGGCAGCCCAGCTCCAGGTTGAGCTGTTGTTCAGCATCTTAGCTGTAGAGGGCAGTGTCACTGGCCCTCATATGTGGGATCTGCCAATTTTCTATACTGTACTTGTTAGGTGATTATCTGCACTCACCAGCTTGCTCTCTAGAGGGCGTGGATCATGCTTATCTGTTTTTTTTTTTTTTTAGCTGAGCCATCCTGCCACCTGTTGGCAGCTCAGCAGCAGCTCAGCTCAGGCCGGGCATCGAACCGCTGTTGCTCAGAGCTCGCACTCTTGAGCGAGCTCTTAACCAACTGAGCCACTCGGCCGGCCCCATGCTTATCTTTTTATCTACCCAGAGCCGTGCCCATCACTTAGGCAGCCAGTAGCTGAATGAATGAATTCCTATCTTCTGTAGTGGATATGAGAAGGAATGTAACTACAATTAACCATAGTTACATAAGAGCAGAATTTGAAAATCCTGCTTAGACTCTACCTGAGGCAGTCACCCTCCGCTGATGGTATGAAAATCATCTCAGATTTTATTATGATTGTGTTCTTATACAAGCCTTTATGGGTATTTGATTAACAATGCTTACAATATTGCTGTTTCAGTCTTAGACTGTCAGCAGGTGTGGGAGCAGACCAGTTGGCTTAATCAGGGCCATAATCAGCCAGTGTGTGACTTTTTTGTAAGCTTCCTTTGTTGCTTCAGCTTCGATGAGGCAGCCTTTGTCTCTTCAGCATAATGATGATTAATTTTTACTGTGCTGTCCTGTTGTTTACAGTGGAGAAGAAGAAGGAGACAATAACAGAGTCAGCAGGCAGACAACAAAAGAAGAAAATAGGTGAGACGGGTTGTTGGCATGCACAAATCTAGGTTTTCTTGGAAAAATAATTCTCAGGTGACAATGACACAATAAAGATAGTAATAGTGGTAACTTGTGTTTCTATGACTGTGGTTTACAAGCACTTGGAGACATTATCTGACTTGATTCAACCATTTTGTAGGACAAGTTCAAGCAGTTGCTCTGTTTTGGAGCTGACAGAGTGGGAGACCATACAGAGTAAGAAGCAGAGGGCTGAGGATGGAGAAAGTCTGGAGGAAGCAGAGGCATGTAGGGGTGACGAAGTGCAGCTGGGTGAAGGCATACCAGGAGAAGCTGCGAGGGCTAGTGGCATGGAAGTGGGGGCAGAGTTTCAGGGCCAGGAAGGGTCCGAAGGTGATGTGAAGTATCTCAGGCAAAATTAGCGATTTAGGGGGAATGATTTCAGTGGCATGATGGGGGACAGAGGCCAAATTGTGTAGATCAGGGAGATAACGCACAGTGAGGAACTGAAGGTATTGAACATGGACCGTTCTTTCAAGTAGCTTGGCTATAAATTATAGGATAGAAAACCGAAAAATGCAACGAGGCAGAGTACCCACTGCCCTTAAATTGACAACAAAGTTATCTCAACTCAGATTATCTTAACGTGGAATGCAGCCTTGAATTGTTTGCTTACCAAAAAACATCATTAGAAATGAAAAGAAATAATATTTATGAAGAGTTGCTTATCAAAATCTTACCAGGAGTCACAAGACATAATATTTATTAGTTGTTGCTTAAAAGACAACCTATCCATTCTCTCAATTTGTAAATTTTGCTCTTAGATTAAGCCAGACGAGCAGGCGTAACTTTGGACTTGATAACATTGCTTCTGCTCTTGCCTTTTGCACTGGTAGGCGTGTCCAGCCAGACACAATTTTTTGTGGTACCACGATCGGATGTTTTTGAGAACATTATCTCCAGCAGCTGTTCACCTGCCCCCCTAGTGCTTCTCAAGTATGTAGCTTTTGCCCTCACCTACCTGGCTTGTGTCCTGGGTTCTTGTTATGGTAGCATTTCTGACAAGGTGCCCTGTGGACCACCTCTGTCTGTAGTGCCTGAGACACCTGTTAAAAATGAAGGGTTCTCAGTCTGACTCCCAGACTTGACTGAATCAGCACCTCTGCCTGTGGGGCCCGTGACTCTGCTTTCTTAACAAGCTGCCCAGATTCTTATGAGCTAAACTGAAGTTTGAGAGCTGGCACGATATTGTAATTCAATTTCTGCTCTCACCAGTAATTTATTTAATCTCCCAAGATTTTCTAGTTTACATTCTTGAGAGAAGGAATTTGATTGGCTCAGCTCATCTTTTGATGCCATATATCATGGGGAAGACTGTGGCTTGGCCACCTTTGGGTCAGCAGCAGCAGGGCAGGTGTGTTAGGAATATTCATGAAGCGACCTCCCGCAGAGACCATGGTGAGAGGCAGACATCCTTCCAGGGGGCTGGGAAGGGGCAGCCATACGGAAGCTTCAACCCACTCTGGTGGACATCTTCTTCCTTAGAGACGGGGAGATATGAGAGGACATGCTTAAAACCTAATTTATTGGGGGCCCTGAGTTTATATATTTATTCTAGGCCTTTATGCTATTTGGATTTTCCATAAAGGAGGCCTGCATCTGGCTTTAATTTAAATTTTGCTTCTTCATTTCCAAATCTACATGAAATTTCAAGGGTGTATTATCAGTCGGTCTTCCATTCAAGACAACTCAGACCGTGGAACTATCACGGGATATCTAACTCTTTTCACCTATTGATGTAACTTAGGAGTATATCTTAATGTACAGAGTTAAGACAATACCAGAGGCGATTTTTTTAAAGTTAAACTCTAAAGATTTTCATTTATTTGAATTTTGGTGCTCTGCTGCCCTTGACTTTTCTGTGATTATAAAGTATGCAGTATGCCAGGTAATCAGCTCATCTTATCAAGTGACAGTGAAGCCCTGTTTCAGCATCAGAGACAGCCCAACACCGCTGTGTGCTCAGCACTGCGCATATTAACCATTTCGTTCACTCTCCTCAGAGAGGCAGGAAGAGAAACTGAAGAACAACAACAGAGACCTGTCGATGGTAAGAGCCCCAAATATAACTTCCTGGTGAACCACATCATGGTTTCAGCAGCAGAACCTGATTTGCACCCAGTACGCTGCACTTAAATTTTCAGAAATTTCCAGTCTTTGGAGGCTGTAAATAATATCATGAGAGTTTCTGGGCTTCATTTCAGCAGCCGGAACAGTGTTTGCAGGCTGCCTCGGGGCCTAGCGTGTCCCTTTCGCACAGTTCTTGGTTAGCCGCCCTCCCCCTCCCCCCCCTGCGCACCTCCTTATGTTTCTTTCCTTCCCTTCCTCATGTTAATGCTGAGCCTGGTTTTGTGGTGACCTGGGCGGTCCCAGTGTAGGGTAGGAGCATTATGGATACCTTTATTGTCACCTCGTTTTTTGAGAGGCCTTCTGTTCTGAGTGTCAGGCATACTGTGAAGTGTAAGTAGAATTGACTTCATTGTCCATTCGCTCAGTATGTGTAATGAGTAGTGTTTGTTCAAGCGTGTCTTTCTAAGGCACAGGTAGACTGATGACGTGGCTTGACTGGTTTTCCTGCTGAATTTCTGTGTGACAGGACATTCTGAGCTTCACAACAGTTGGCTTTGACTTACTGAGAGAGCTTTGCTCTATTTATCTTGAAATCCTTATTAAGAAAGATTATAATGTAGAGGTGCATTTTAAAAAATAGCTTTTGTTTTTTTCACACAATTGTTACATGTTACCATAGCAAATTTGGAAACTACAGAAAGAAGAAGAGATAAAAATTGCCCATAAACCTATTTATCATGATATAACGACTTTATAATCCTTTGTTTATTTTATACTTTTATGGCATATGTAATTAAGAAAGCTTCAAGTAACAGAATACCTAATGGACAGTGGCTTAAACAGATACAGGTGGTTGTTTGTTTTCCTTCCTCCAGAAGCCCAGAGGTTGGTGTTCCTGGGGGGTGGGCAGCTCAGTGACGTCATCAAGGATGCAGGGTGCTGTCCTTACCTTAAGATTGCTTGGATGTTTGGGGGTGCTTTACCTTCAGCCATTATGTTTTTCATTCCGGGCAAGACGAATGGAAAAAGGCTGAAGAGATGGGTGCTAGCCAAGCTTGTCCCTTTGAAAAGTCCCTTCAGCCCTTATACTTGTAACTCATTGGCCAGAATTGGCTCTCGTGGCCACCCCGATACTATTCATCAGACAGTGACAAGGAGAGGAGGGCTTGGAGGTGTAGGGGGGTTAGCCAGTAGGCGGCTTTTGGCTAAGGAGCGCCTTTAAAAAAAAAGGCAGGAAAGCAAACTTTTGGGGCGTGCTCTAGTGGTGGGTTTTCTGTAGTGCAAAATGACAATCTGTTGGTCTCCTTACAGGTTCGAATGAAATCCATGTTTGCAATTGGCTTTTGTTTTACTGCCCTAATGGGAATGTTCAATTCCATGTGAGTATCCTTTTCTGTGGTTTTACCCAACTGTCGCCGCTCTGTGCATGTGCCTGTGTGAGCAATGAACTTGCTGGTAATATTTTAATATTTCAAATTTATAGAAAAGTTACAAGAAGAGTATTAGTATATCCATTATCCAGATTCACAAGTGTTAGCATTTTGCCTGATTGACTTTCTCTTTTCTCTGTCTCTCCATATCATATATGTACTCACACCTGCATTATTAATGTATTTTTCTTAGTCATTTAAGAGGATGCTGTGGGTTTCACGCTCCCTTATCCAGAACTACCAAAGTGTGTATTTCCTAAGAACATGGACCTTCTCTAACCTCAATCCAATTATCCAAATCAAAGAAATTTAATTTTGATAAACCACAATTATGTGATAACTTTTCCAGCCTCTTAATATTAAAGATACTTTCTGTACAAAGCAAACACTAGTATTATGGGGCCTTCACAAGGAAGGTAGTCATGTAAAGGTGTTTACTCTTAAAATAGAGCCTTAACTCTAATCTTGTTTCATGCTCAGGTAAGTGGCTGTTGTCTAAACTAGCACACAGCAGGCCTGAGAACCTGTGGGACTGCTTTTGACAGAAGCTGGGAAAGTAGCCAAAGATGACCAGCAGCCGTTGATCGCCTTTCAGGGCTCACCTGAATCCTCCCACGTGGGTTAGGGTTTTCCTCACTCTCTTCCTTTGCTTTCTTCCACTGTCTGTCCCTGGCTTCATTTCTGCCTGTCTCTCCCTCTCTCTGTGACCCCGCAGCCCCCACCCGCTCTTCTCTCTCCGTCTGTCAGGCGCCTGCTTTGTGCCAGGCGTCGGAATAGAACAAATGAGATGTGGCCCCGCCCTCAGATCAGAGTTTTATGGGAAGAAAAGACAAACACATTGATGGACGTTCCACTGGAACTGTGTGTGTGTCAAGTACAGCAGGGGGAAGAAGGAAGTGATTGTTTTACTAGATGAGGGACCAGTGGAAGTGTCCAATGGCTTTACTACAAACTTTTCACTTAATAAATGAGGGACCTTTGGAAGGTTAAATAACTTGCCCTAGGTATCCAGAAGTCTCATAATTTCTAATTTCTAGTTCTAAACTCAGTACTCTTTTACTGCCATGCTTTCTCTCATATCTTGGGTATGTATCACCATAAATGACCAGGCGAACCAAACAGAAAGGCTTTGTAGTTAACTAGTAAGCTTCATTAGTACAACTCAAATATACTTAAATATATTTTTTTAATTTTTTAAAAGATTTTTATTGGGAATTGGGGGATGGGAACAGCGCTGGGGAGTTGGGGGAAGGGGAACAGACAAGTTGCTGTCCTTTTGTTCTTCAGTCTAGTTGTGGAGGACGTTGCTTCACTGGCCCAAGTTGGCACCATCATTGCGCTCTTCCCAGGCGAGGCAGATCAGTCACTGGCTTCTGGACGGCCGCTCACTGCGGCTGCTGGCCGCTCACGCTGGCTGCCGGCCACACACGGTAGCCCATGGCAACTCATCTGCTGTCACTGGCGACTCACGGCTGCCCAGCTCCAGGTCGAGCTGTTGTTCAGCATCTTAGCTGTGGAGGGCAGTGTCACTGGCCCTCGTGGGATCTGAACCGGGGCCCTGCTGCTCAGAGCTGAGGTCCTAAGCCAGCTCCTAACCAACGTGCCACTCGGCCGGCCCCTGTGTAGCTACTCTTACTGGCCTTGGCTTTATTGTGTGATTTCCGTAACAGATTTGAGTCCTGCTTTGCTTGAAGTTCAGCATTTGATTTCATTCCTTAGTCTTATGTACAGATGAGTTCTAATGAAACAGGCTAAGGAATAGCTGACCGTGTGTACCAGCGGTAATGCTGCCTTAAATTTCTGTGGTTCCCTTCCTTTGTATTGTTGGTGACATATTGTAGTGAACTGTCTTTTAATCTCTCTCAACATGCACACACACACGTGCGTGCATACCCACTAAGTCTACAAGGCTGCTCTCTGGGATGTGGAACTGCCTCAAATATATTTTTTCGCCAGGATCCTGAAAAAATTAAGACCCACTAGTTTAGAAAAGATTGGTGGGGAAAAGCTCCGTCCTTCCTTACATCCTTGTGTTTCAGGTCTCTTTTTAGAATGTTACTCTTTCTTTGTCTTTTAGCGATCAAGGGACTTAAAGATCTATTCCTGTCCCAGATTCTTTTCTGGAGCTTAGAAGCTTGCCAGCCTTCCAAAAATAACAGTTCTTTGTTTTTTCCTTTTCAGATTTGATGGTAGAGTAGTGGCAAAGCTGCCTTTCACCCCCCTTTCCTACATCCAAGGGCTGTCTCACAGGAACCTGCTGGGCGATGACACCACAGACTGCTCCTTCATCTTCCTCTACATTCTCTGCACCATGTCCATCCGACAGGTGAGTGACACACCCACTGTTAACACGGACAGTCAGGTGCCGCATAACGACGTTTGGGCGACGACGGAGCGCATGCACGGCGGTAGCACACTGCACAGCCTAGGTGTGTGGGAGGCCGTGCCCTCAGGGTTTGTGCCCATGCGCTCTGATGTCCGCACAAGGATGAAGTCACGAGTGACGTGTTTCTCAGAACACGCCCCCGTTGCTAAGTAGGGCATGACTGTAAAGCCTTCCTTGCTGCCATCCCCTAAGTTAGCTTTTATGTCTGTCATACCGGAAGTGTCTGCTGGTGCTCCTGAGATCTTTCAGATGCTTGTCTTAGACCCCCGTGTCCCACCTAATGCTGCTGTGTCAGGAGGCCCAGGCCACTGCCCCTTAAAGCCAGACGTGGCTCCCACATCCCATTCCTGGGGCGCTTGTTGCAACTATCTGAAGGTAGAAAAGGAAAGAGTGGGTTTGACCTTCCCACTGTCACTTTTTTTTTTTTAAAGATTTTATTGTGGAGTTGGGAGAGGGGAACAGTGTTGGGGAATTGGGGGAGGGGAACAGACAAGTTGTTGTTCTTCAGTCTGTTGTGGAGGGCGCCAGTCGCCATCTGCTTTCCAGTCCGCAGCTCGTGGCCTCTAAGCTCAAGGTGCTGTGTTCAATCTTAGTTGCAGGTGGGCGTAGCCACCATCCCATGCGGGAGTCGAACCAGCATCCTTGTTGTTAAGAGCGCACACTCTGTCCACTGAGCCATCAGGCGGCAGCTCAGCTCAAGGTGCCGAGTTCAGTCTTAGTTTCGGGTGGGCGTAGCCCACCATCCAACAGGCAGTCTTGTTGTTACACCAGCTGAGCCATCCTGCCACCTGTTGATAGCTCAGCGACAGCTCAGCTCGGGCGCAGCATCACTGGCCCATGTGGGAATCGAACCGGCTACCCTCTTGCTCAGAGCTCACGCTCTTAAGCCAACTCTTAATCAACTGAGCCACGCGGCTGGCCCTGTCATTTCTTCTTTATCATACACCAGCGCCTTTTGTCACTTCCAGAACACAAGTAGGTGGAATAATTCGGTGATTTTAGGTTAGTCACATTGAGATACAGTCTGGGTTACAGCAGTGTGATCTGAACCCCTAGAGTGAAGGAGCGTGGAGCAGTGGGTCAGGACACACGTGTCATTCATGCCTCGAGAGCCTCCAGGGTGTAAGTGTGTCGGTGGGGCCACCCGCGGTAGCCGTTTTCCTGAGGCGTTCTCAAGCCAGCCCTCTTATCCGCAGAGGCTACTTTCTGTAATTCCAGTAATTTCAGTGCCGTTCACCTTTCTTGTCTATTGTGGTAAAATTGGCATAACATACAACTTACTGTTTTAACCGTTTTTTAACTAGACAGTTCTGTCACATTAAGTACATCCCACATTATTATACAAGCGTCACCACGATGCATCTCTAGAACTTTTTCATCTTCCAAACTGAAACCCTGTCCCCATCAAACCCTACGCCCCCTCCCCGCAGCCCCTGCGGCCACCACCTGCTTTCTGTCTCTGAGTTGGACTTCTCTTACTTGTGAATTTGACCTCAGATAAGTAGAATCACACAGTATTTTTCCTGTTGTGGCTGGCCTAATGTTTTCAAGGTTCATCCACGTTGTGTGTGTCAGAATTTCCTTCCTTTTTTTAAGGCCAAATCGTATTTCGTTGTATGTATGTAGCACATTTTGTTTCTCCATTCATCTGTCCGTGGACACTTCACCTTTGCACATGGGTATATAAATGTCTGAGTTCCTGTTTTCCCATCCTTTGGGTACCTACCCAGAAGTGGAATTGGTAGGTCATATTGCAGTTCTGTGTTTAATTTTTGGAGGAATCACCATAATGTTTTACACAGCTGCTGCGCCATTTTACCCAGTCCTATTAATCTTAAGGCTTCAATTCACCATCAGCTTGACACCATTTTTTAAAAGATAAAGTAATTTCTCATGTTTCACTTTCAGTGAGTGAAAACGGTAATTTCACTCACTCGGGATTAATGTTTATGCTAAATGTGTAAAAAAATACATTTTATATGCAAGTTACCTCCAGCAATAGGGGTGGGGTGGCCTTGCTGGGTTAATGGGGACATGTCATAGTAAATTAGAATATAGCATCTAGGAGAATGAGAAGCATTTCTCTTGTTAATGTCTTTACAGTGTCAACAGTTTAATTGCTGAAGTGATTAGATACTTTTATCAGTGGATTTCCTGAATTTATGTTTTTAAGTCTTTTATTTGTGAAATAAACTTGTGAAAAATATTTGTGGAAGATTATGACCACACTTAACATGTCAGTTAATCACACCTCTGCAGTATTAACCAGAGTTCACTTCCTTTTCTAAATGTGAGTGATGGTGTAATCAGACCAACCAGCCCCAGTCCTTGTGTAACGCCCCCTGTTGTGAAGGAGGTATCCTCTGAGCTTGAATTAAGCATTTCTCCTATCCTTAAGAGAACTGATGGGCACATTAGTAGTGATTCCTTGATAGATTCATCCATTATTTATTAATTTTACGAAGTTGAGCACAACATGTGTCAAGCTGTGTGCTGGTGCTCAGCAGACAGCTGTAAGAAAGCTGACATAGGCTTAGAGGCCTTGTTCTCATGGAACTAAGGTTTGTTTTGAAATAAAAAGGTGAATTTTTCACCTCTTGCCTCACTTTTTAAAAAACCGTTATCAAATATGAGCGTATGGAAGTACTTTTAAAGTTATTTCTGTTATTCTTTTTTTTTTAAAGATTTTTATTGGGGAATTGGGGGTATGGGAACAGCGCTGGGGAATTGGGGGAAGGGGAACAGACAAGTTGCTGTCCTTTTGTTCTTCAGTCTAGTTGTGGAGGACGTTGCTTCACTGGCCCAAGTTGGCACCATTATTGCGCTCTTCCCGGGGGAGGCAGATCAGTTGCTGGCTTCTGGACGGCCGCTCACTGCGGCTGCTGGCCGCTCACGCTGGCTGCCGGCCACACACAGTAGCCCATGGCAACCCACTGCCACAGGGGCTGCAGCCTACACCGTCACCGGCGACTCATGACAGCCCAGCTCCAGGTCGAGCTGTTGTTCAGCATCTTAGCTATAGAGGGCAGTGTCACTGGCCCTCATATGTGGGATCCGAACCGGGGCCCTCTGGCGTCCCAAGCCAGCTCTTAACCATCGCGCCACTCGGCCGGCCCAAGTTATTTCTGTTATTCTAATCATTTCAAGTAGAAGCAGATGAAGCAAAGATTAAACAAAGTACTTGTGAGTCTGGTTTTCATCTATTACATATTTTTGCCATTCCAGGGTGTTATTGATTATATGATTCTCTGTTGACTTAAGAGTTTCAAGGATAAGAAATAATACCATGCTGACCAGATAAGAGTTTAAGACACCATTCTGGTTTAAAATGGTGGAGGAAGAGGAGGAATGCTTGTAAGGTTCAGGAGATGTAGTATTTGGAGGTTTGAATCTTGTTACCTCTTAGGCTGAGTGTCCTTGGGAAAGTCACATAACCTCTGAGTGTCGGTTTTCACAGTGAGGTTGGGTTTAGCGTACAGCCTCCCATGTTATGATAATCAGATAACAGTGAGCCAGAACGGAAGCAGTTGTTCTTAAGGCAACACTTCTTTTAACCAGTGCGTCTTGCCCCACCACCACCCCAGCACGCTTGGCGTATTTTTAAAATTAATATTTGTTCCCAGTCCAGGGTAGGACAAAGTTTCTTTTCACAGATTAGAACATGGTGATTTATCATATTAACTGAAAATAAATCTAATTACCTTTTCTCGTTTTATCTTTCTCCTTTCATGTGCTTCCTTAATGTTTAGTGATTAATGTTAGTGGCCTTGACCTTCACATCACAACTATTTCCTTTGTGTGAATTTGTAACAGCAGAAATGGTAGGTCTGCCAGCTCACATCAAAGGTGTTAAGTTAATTCAGGCTAGTGACGGAGATTTCCTTAACTCCTAAAATTAAGGCACTTGCTTGCTTTTTTTTTTTTTCATTGTTTTAAGTCATTAGTGGATTGAGTAAATGGTTATCTCCTCTATATAAAGTGCTCTAAATCTCAGTAAAAATCCAAGCAAACTTACTTGGTAAACAGCTAAGGGAAAATTGGTCTATTCTTGTAAAGAATATTTACCTGAAAATTGAAAATGTCTTTTTGTTCTTGAAGGATATTTTCATTGGATATAGTATTCTGGGTTGACCGTTTTTGTTTGTTTCATCCTTTCAGCATTTTTAAATGCCTTTCCACTGTCTTCTGGCCTCATTGTTTCTGATGAGAAGTCCCATGTAGCTCTGTATCCTTGTAGATAATACGTCACTTTTCTCTGGCTGCGCTGATTTTCTCATTAAGTTTGGTTTTTCAGCAGTTTGTGATGTGCCTAGGGTTTAATTTTTTTTTTAATCTTGCTAGGTTTTCGTTAAATCTGAGAAATTTTCAGCCATAAGTTCTTCAAATATATGTTTTTCTGCTCCATTCTCTCTTCTGTGGTTCCAGGTACATGTTAGTCTTTTTGGTATTGTGCAACAGTGCACTGAGGCTCTGTTCACTGTTTAAAAGCTCTTTCTCTCCGTTCTTTAGACAGGATGATTGCTGTTAGCCTGTCGTCAAGCTCCCTGACTGCCTGGTCATCTCTAATGTGAGCTAACCCTAAAACCATCCAATGGTTTTTAAATCTTGATGCAATATTTTTTTAGGTAGGTCCAGAATTTCCTTTTTTGCTATCCTTTTTCCCTACCGAGATTTCCTATTTGTTCATTTATTACGAACATATATAATTTTTTATGTTCTTAGGCATAGTTATTTAGCTGCTTTAAAAGCCTTGTCTTCTAATTCCAACATTGGGACCGTATCAAGGCTGGACTCTATCTGTTGCCTGCCTCTTAAGTGTGGGTCATGTTTCCTGTTTCTTGACATGTCTAATAATTTTGGATTGTATCTTGGACGTTGTGAATGATCAACTGTAGAGACCCTGGATTCTCTGTTAGTCTTTGGAAGAGTGTTGATTTTTG